GTTGATGGTCTTTGATTGGTCGGGGTCTTTCTCCTTTATGCAGTTCGATGGCTCTCTCAGATATACATTTTGCCCTGGCCTTTGACTGTAGCCAGGTGGAGAGGTCAATAAGAGAGTACGTTTGATTTGCTTGACCGGTTAGGATGCCTTTGTTGCTACAGTATTCGACAAATCCATCTCTGTACTGTACAGGGAGTTTACTCAGAAGACGGTCAACGTGAGAACCACATTTGATTTCTGAACCGTTTGGACCTTCTATAGAGAGTAACATTCCCACTAGAGCATTGACAGAGAGTGAGAAATCCTCAAATGCTTCTACATCACCTATACGTATAAATGCAGTGTTTAGCAATGCACCTATTTCACTTTGCACCAATAGCCTTGGCTGGCCAAATCTCTCTTGTAATGCATTGAGAGCTGTTGAGTATGGATTGACACTATGCATACTAGATTTAGCAAGTTTATATGCCCCAGGGTGTTTTAGATGGTCTAAAAGTATTTGGTACTTATATTGTTCTGTGAGGTGAAAATGGCAATTCTAAGTTATCCAAAGCCATTTTTAATAGTGCAAAATCACTTTCCCTGCCACTCTTAAATAATGGGAGTGTTGGACGGGGAATACCATATGCAGAGGCCATTACCAAATCTGCCATATTTGTATTTTGTGATTGTGGGAAAACATACTGAGACTGACCAGGTGCTGTGAATTGGCCATACATGACATTGGCAGGTCCAGAGTCTGTTGGGACAGGTGGAGCAGTGAGGGAGGAAGAGGTTACCTGGGCAGATGCAGGGTGACTGGATGATGATGTATCAGGAGCTGCCCTTATGGAAACAGGAGGTACATGACGCAGCTGTATTTGAGGTATTATGGATGAAGCCCTGGTTTGGGTTATCTCCGCCGGCCTGGCAGCTTCATGCGAATCCAAACCAGTTCCAGAATCAGCGCGTGTTAACCTTGAGGGAGCACCTGGTGTGTATATTTGTGACATGGGTAAGGCATAGAAGGATGATGCAGCTGCAATCCCAGCATCTTCCTCTTCTTGGTCTGCCGTTCTATCCAGGTTCTGTTTGATAAAGCTGGACACAAGTTGAACGGATTCCAGTTCCCTCTCTTTAATGCGAATGCGCCTGTCCAAAGTCACTTGTCTAACTAGTTTCTCCTTCTCTTTATGTGCTTCCTCCTGAATTTGTTGTGCATTCTTTGCCCTTTGTTCAATTAGTTTACATTTCTCATCAAGTTCATAGTCCTCACTTTTCTGTCTCCGTAGTTCCTCCAGTTCATCTTGAACTCCCTTTTCCTCTAAGAGGCTAACTTGCAACTCACTTAAAGTACTGATATGACTGCTCCCAGAGCGTCTGCTCTGAGTGGAACTAGTAGGACTAGATGCCCTAGTACAATGGCTCTTTCTGGAATGGCTTGACTTGGGTTTTGATTTTACTTTTACATTTGGCTGTAGCACAGAAACCCCGTAATAATCAGGAGGTCTGATGATGCGCTTTGGTCTAGCACCCAAGTCTTGACCACTAGGATTCCTCTGTGGATCCAGTAACAGTTCAGTAGTAATAGAGGTTGCATGTGTTGATTGTAGTTGACTAGTAGACCCATGGGGCGGGGGAGGAGGTGGAACACTGCGCTCTGGCTGTTCAGCAGGTGTGGGTGGCTTGGGTGAAGACTGAGACGAATCAAGTTTACCCCCAAGAAAGGGTAAGGTCAAGTCCAATCCATCCCCGGATCCCTCCACAGATTCACTGCCAGTAGCTTTAGCTGGAGCTGTAGCAGTGCCAATAGTAGTTGACCCCTCTGGATCCATAGCAGGTCACTGATGGATATGGCTGTGTCTCAGTATCCGGCTCACGAAGGACCATTTGTTGTGTATAAATGTTCGAACTGGAGACACAGACCACCAGGAAACAGTTGTAGCTTGTTATACCCCACATTTATTTGTAGTTGCCATGGTTCTGTAAAGTAGGGTAAATATGTCTCAGTCAATAATCATCATATTAGACTGGTAAACAATTAAACAATACACAAGAATCTTAAACAATAGTACTTACATTTGTAGCAGAAACAAAAGACGCATGGTCAACATAAAATGGGGAAACAATGGACTACAAACAGGAAGGCCTACTTATAGCCTCTCTAGAGTTTGGGTGTGTCCTCCTGCTCCCAGGTGCCTCCATCTTGTGGACACCTGCGGAATTGCTACATTGTCTGTTATTTACTGGAGTTTGTGACAAGTCTAGTATATATTAGTATAGTATATATTAGTCTAGTATATATTGGTATAGTTTATATTGTTATAGTATATATTAGTATAGTATATATTAGTCTAGTATATATTGGTATAGTATATATTAGTATAGTATATATTAGTATAGTATATATTGGTATAGTATATATTGGTATAGTATATATTAGTATAGTATATACTATTATAATATATATTAGTATAGTATATATTAGTCTAGTATATATTGGTACAGTATATATTAGTATAGTATATATTAGTATAGTATATATTGGTATAGTATATATTGGTATAGTATATATTAGTATAGTATATATTAGTCTAGTATATATTAGTCTAGTATATATTAGTATAGTATATATTAGTCTAGTATATATTAGTCTAGTATATATTAGTCTAGTATATATCAGTCTAGTATATAGGCTCTGAATGACTCCAGACTTGTTTTTAGGGTCTTCCTGGTAAAGATGGAGAGACTGGTGCAGCTGGACCCCCTGGTCCTGCCGTAAGTATGGTCTCCTTCACCTCTGACTAATCTGGACTCTAGTCTGGACTTTAGTCTGGACTCAAGTCTGGACTTTAGTGTGGACTCTAGTCTAGACTCTAGTCTGGACTCTAGTCTTGACTCTAGTCTAAACTCTAATCTAGACTCTAGTCTGGACTCTAGTCTAAACTCTAATCTAGACTCTAGTCTGGACTCTAGTCTAAACTATAATCTAGACTCTAGTCTGGACTCTTGTCTAGGCTCTAGTCTGTACTCTTGTTTAGGCTCTAGTCTGTACTCTAGTCTGGAGTCTAGTCTGGACTCTAGTCTAGATTCTAGTCTAAACTCTAATCTGGACTCTAGTCTGGACTCTAGTCTGGACTCTATTCTAGACTCTAGTCTAAACTCTAATCTGGACTCTAGTCTGGACTCTAGTGTGGACTCTAGTTTGGACTCTAATCTAGACTCTAGTCTGGACTCTTGTCTGGACTCTAGTCTGGACTCTTGTCATTACTTACATATATGCATACCCCTCCTCCAATTTTACCCAGTCTGTTTCTAAAATGACCAGAGTAACCATCTAATTTATACATATCTTCAAATGATTGTTCATTCATCCAAGTTTCACAGCACCCAATTATATCAAAGTTAATGCCTGTACTGGCAAGTAACGAAACAAGTTCATCATAATGCTTTTTTAGACTTCTAATATTTAGGTGCATTAAAGAGAATGAAGAGTTGTTCATTTGTTTTAGTTGCTCAACGTCATAATAGTCACAGGTAATACTGGTAGAGGCACGAAGGTAGTGCTCAAATTTCTCAAATTCACTACAGCAATTTATGTCAATTATTCCCATAATTTTATTATGACATATTTCAGATTATATACTTTACTTCCACATATCAAGCATAGGACCATATCCATTTTTATCAAAACACCCAGTGAAATAAGGAAGAAAAAATATAGACATATAATTAAACAAAACAAAAGAGTTTGGATTACTACCAATCGAAACATTTCTGGCATTCCACTCTCCCAGTACAGAGACTTAACACCAAAAGTAGTTGTCCTTTGGGGGAAAATGTGTCCCGTAACCCGCGTTGACAGGCTTGAAAAATCACAAGAGTCAAAGGGTTGTAGCACTCATAGTACTCAAGTACAGTTACTTTACCAGTCACGTGAGGGATGAGAGGAATGCTTCAGCCTTGTTGGGATCTTTGAAAGACTTTTGCCCGCCGTTTGCCTTGAAGGACAGGATTGCTGGATAGGCCATTCTAAACCTGATGTCCCGTTTAATAAGCTCCGCACAGACCGTGTTGAATGCCCGTCTAGCAGCCCGGACTTCAGGTGGAGTGTCTGGTACGAGCCGCAAAGTACGGCCCTCATGCTGGGGATTCCCCTGGCGCTTCACCGCTGACATTACCATCGCCACATCTCTGGAGCGTTGAAGTTTCAAGACCACAGCGCGCGGGCGTCCGTCCTCAGGTATTCCAAAGCCCCGATGGGCACGGTCAATGGGTATAGTTGTAACAGGTAGCTGCAGTAGTTTAGGAATGAACGCCTCAAAAAACACAGTCGGGTCATTTCCCTCAGTGGACTCTTTCAGATTTAGTATCCGAATGTTTTTGCGCCTTTGACGACATTCCAGTTCAATTACTTTGTCTCTCAGCTCTTTATTAGCGATCAACAGTGAATCTAGATGCTTTTTAATCGGAGCTATGCCATCCTCCAAGTGTGAAATACGCGTTTCAGCCTCCGCTTGTCTCGTAGCAAGTGCCGCGGTGGTTACAGCGACATCATCGATACGCTTCATCATGTTATCCACCTTGGCCTCGAGTTTCCCAAAGGATTCATTCACGGACAATAGGATGCGTTTTCCCTCTTCTGCCACTGCCGCTGAAATACTCTTTAGCAGAGCTTCAGTCATTGAAACAGAGGGGGTAGCTTCAGAGGTAGCATTAGCATTGGCACTGCCGGTGATAGGAGTAGCACTCAGAAAAGAGTTTCCCTCAGAGGCATCTTGGCCTTTGATTCCACGCTTAGATTGTTTGGACATGATTTAAAGCTTGACGAATTGCGTTCAGTCGGTAGGTGATTTCATAAAATCATTGGAAGGAGAGTGGTGCCAGACGTCTCCTCTCACGTCGCCATTTTTCCGTCTTCTGAGTACTGCTCACTCCCCTCAACAGGTACAAGTTAAACAGGGCTGGATTCTTTAAACTCCATTGGTTTAATTAATGTTTGATTGATCTATTTGTTTAAATCATTTACACTGCATACATTTATGAGCCTGGTCCCACTGATGAAGACTGTGATGAAGACTGATGAAGACTGTGATGAAGACTGTGATGAAGACTGTGATGAAGACTGTGATGAAGACTGTGATGAAGACAGTGATGAAGACAGTGATGAAGACAGTGATGAAGACTGTGATGAAGACTGATGAAGACTGTGATGAAGACTGTGATGAAGACTGTGATGAAGACTGTGATGAAGACTGATGAAGACTGATGAAGACTGTGATGAAGACTGTGATGAAGACTGATGAAGACTGTGATGAAGACTGTGATGAAGACTGTGATGAAGACTGTGATGAAGACTGTGATGAAGACTGATGAAGACTGTGATGAAGACTGTGATGAAGACTGTGATGAAGACTGTGATGAAGACTGATGAAGACTGTGATGAAGACTGATGAAGACTGTGATGAAGACTGTGATGAAGACTGTGATGAAGACTGTGATGAAGACAGTGATGAAGACTGTGATGAAGACTGATGAAGACTGATGAAGACAGTGATGAAGACTGTGATGAAGACTGTGATGAAGACTGATGAAGACTGTGATGAAGACTGATGAAGACTGTGATGAAGACTGATGAAGACTGTGATGAAGACTGTGATGAAGACTGTGATGAAGACTGATGAAGACTGTGATGAAGACTGATGAAGACTGTGATGAAGACTGTGATGAAGACTGATGAAGACTGTGATGAAGACTGTGATGAAGACAGTGATGAAGACAGTGATGAAGACTGTGATGAAGACTGATGAAGACTGATGAAGACAGTGATGAAGACTGTGATGAAGACTGATGAAGACTGTGATGAAGACTGATGAAGACTGTGATGAAGACTGATGAAGACTGTGATGAAGACAGTGATGAAGACTGTGATGAAGACTGATGAAGACTGATGAAGACTGTGATGAAGACTGTGATGAAGACTGTGATGAAGACTGTGATGAAGACAGTGATGAAGACTGTGATGAAGACTGTGATGAAGACTGATGAAGACTGTGATGAAGACAGTGATGAAGACTGTGATGAAGACTGATGAAGACTGATGAAGACTGTGATGAAGACAGTGATGAAGACAGTGATGAAGACTGTGATGAAGACAGTGATGAAGACTGTGATGAAGACTGTGATGAAGACTGATGAAGACTGTGATGAAGACTGTGATGAAGACTGTGATGAAGACTGTGATGAAGACAGTGATGAAGACTGTGATGAAGACTGTGATGAAGACTGATGAAGACTGTGATGGTTCTATAACTGATGAAGACTGAGAGTGATTGTCATTGTACATGAAGGACTTATGACCAAGAATAAGAACCCCAGAAGGGACTGGGTGGTACCAGTGTGGGTGGTACCAGTGTGGGTGGTACCAGTGTGGGTGGTACCAGTGTGGGTGGTACCAGTGTGGAGGAGGACCAGTGTGGAGGAGGACCAGTGAGGAGGAGGACCAGTGTGGAGGAGGACCAGTGAGGAGGAGGACCAGTGTGGAGGAGGACCAGTGTGGAGGAGGACCAGTGTGGAGGAGGACCAGTGTGGGTGGTACCAGTGTGGGTGGTACCAGTGTGGGTGGTACCAGTGTGGGTGGTACCAGTGTGGAGGAGGACCAGTGTGGAGGAGGACCAGTGAGGAGGAGGACCAGTGTGGAGGAGGACCAGTGAGGAGGAGGACCAGTGTGGAGGAGGACCAGTGAGGAGGAGGACCAGTGTGGAGGAGGACCAGTGTGGGTGGTACCAGTGTGGGTGGTACCAGTGTGGGTGGTACCAGTGTGGGCGGTACCAGTGTGGGTGGTACCAGTGTGGGTGGTACCAGTGTGGGTGGTACCAGTGTGGGTGGTACCAGTGTGACCCCTAACCCCAGCTGATGTTTAACGTGTCCAGAGCTGGTCAGTCGTGGTCAGTCGTGGTCAGTCGTGTCCAGAGCTGGTCAGTCGTGGTCAGTCGTGTCCAGAGCTGGTCTGTCGTGGTCAGTCGTGGTCAGTCGTGTCCAGAGCTGGTCAGTCGTGGTCAGTCGTGGTCAGTCGTGTCCAGAGCTGGTCAGTCGTGGTCAGTCGTGTCCAGAGCTGGTCAGTCGTGTCCAGAGCTGGTCTGTCGTGGTCAGTCGTGTCCAGAGCTGGCCAGTCTTGGTCAGTCGTGTCCAGAGCTGGTCTGTCGTGGTCAGAGCTGGTCAGTCGTGGTCAGTCGTGTCCGGAGCTGGTCAGTCGTGGTCAGTCGTGTCCAGAGCTGGTCTGTCGTGGTCAGAGCTGGTCAGTCGTGGTCAGTCGTGTCCAGAGCTGGTCAGTCGTGGTCAGTCGTGTCCAGAGCTGGTCTGTCGTGGTCAGAGCTGGTCAGTCGTGGTCAGTCGTGTCCAGAGCTGGTCAGTCGTGTCCAGAGCTGGTCTGTCGTGGTCAGAGCTGGTCAGTCGTGGTCAGTCGTGTCCAGAGCTGGTCAGTCGTGTCCAGAGCTGGTCAGTCGTGGTCAGTCGTGTCCAGAGCTGGTCAGTCGTGGTCAGTCGTGGTCAGAGCTGGTCAGTCGTGTCCAGAGCTGGTCAGTCGTGTCCAGTCGTGTCCAGAGCTGGTCAGTCGTGGTCAGAGCTGGTCAGTCGTGGTCAGAGCTGGTCAGTCGTGTCCAGAGCTGGTCAGTCGTGTCCAGAGCTGGTCAGTCGTGGTCAGTCGTGGTCAGTCGTGGTCAGTCGTGTCCAGAGCTGGTCAGTCGTGGTCAGTCGTGTCCAGAGCTGGTCAGTCGTGGTCAGTCGTGTCCAGAGCTGGTCAGTCGTGTCCAGTCGTGGTCAGTCGTGGTCAGTCGTGGTCAGAGCTGGTCAGTCGTGGTCAGTCGTGGTCAGTCGTGGTCAGTCGTGGTCAGTCGTGGTCAGTCGTGGTCAGTCGTGGTCATTGTTAAAATGGCATTTTCTACATTTGAATTTATGTTAATTATTGTTCTGAAGGATCTGATTCAGAACAATAAGGACCAGTGAGGAGGAGGACCAGTGTGGAGGAGGACCAGTGTGGAGGAGGACCAGTGAGGAGGAGGACCAGTGTGGAGGAGGACCAGTGAGGAGGAGGACCAGTGTGGAGGAGGGAGGAGGAGGACCAGTGTGGAGGAGGACCAGCGTGGAGGAGGACCAGTGAGGAGGAGGACCAGTGTGGAGGAGGACCAGTGTGGAGGAGGACCAGTGAGGAGGAGGACCAGTGTGGAGGAGGACCAGTGTGGAGGAGGACCAGTGTGGAGGAGGACCAGTGAGGAGGAGGACCAGTGTGGAGGAGGGAGGAGGAGGACCAGTGTGGAGGAGGACCAGCGTGGAGGAGGACCAGTGAGGAGGAGGACCAGTGTGGAGGAGGACCAGTGTGGAGGAGGACCAGTGAGGAGGAGGACCAGTGTGGAGGAGGACCAGTGTGGAGGAGGACCAGTGTGGAGGAGGACCAGTGAGGAGGAGGAGGACCAGTGTGGAGGAGGGAGGAGGAGGACCAGTGTGGAGGAGGACCAGCGTGGAGGAGGACCAGTGTGGAGGAGGACCAGCGTGGAGGAGGACCAGTGTGGAGGAGGACCAGTGTGGAGGAGGACCAGTGAGGAGGAGGACCAGTGTGGAGGAGGACCAGTGAGGAGGAGGACCAGTGTGGAGGAGGACCAGTGAGGAGGAGGACCAGTGTGGAGGAGGACCAGTGAGGAGGAGGACCAGTGTGGAGGAGGACCAGTGAGGAGGAGGACCAGTGTGGAGGAGGACCAGTGAGGAGGAGGACCAGTGTGGAGGAGGGAGGAGGAGGACCAGTGTGGAGGAGGACCAGCGTGGAGGAGGACCAGTGTGGAGGAGGACCAGCGTGGAGGAGGACCAGTGTGGAGGAGGACCAGTGTGGAGGAGGACCAGTGAGGAGGAGGACCAGTGTGGAGGAGGACCAGTGAGGAGGAGGACCAGTGTGGAGGAGGACCAGTGAGGAGGAGGACCAGTGTGGAGGAGGACCAGTGAGGAGGAGGACCAGTGTGGAGGAGGACCAGTGAGGAGGAGGACCAGCGTGGAGGAGGACCAGTGTGGAGGAGGACCAGTGAGGAGGAGGACCAGTGTGGAGGAGGACCAGTGAGGAGGAGGACCAGTGTGGAGGAGGACCAGTGTGGAGGAGGACCAGTGTGGAGGAGGACCAGTGAGGAGGAGGACCAGTGTGGAGGAGGACCAGTGTGGAGGAGGACCAGTGTGGAGGAGGACCAGTGTGGAGGAGGACCAGTGTGGAGGAGGGAGGAGGAGGAGGACCAGTGTGGAGGAGGACCAGTGTGGAGGAGGACCAGTGAGGAGGAGGACCAGTGTGGAGGAGGACCAGTGTGGAGGAGGACCAGTGTGGAGGAGGACCAGTGTGGAAGAGGACCAGTGTGGAGGAGGACCAGTGTGGAGGAGGACCAGTGAGGAGGAGGACCAGTGTGGAGGAGGACCAGTGTGGAGGAGGGAGGAGGAGGACCAGTGTGGAGGAGGACCAGTGTGGAGGAGGACCAGTGTGGAAGAGGACCAGTGTGGAGGAGGGAGGAGGAGGACCAGTGTGGAGGAGGACCAGTGTGGAGGAGGACCAGTGTGGAGGAGGACCAGTGTGGAAGAGGACCAGTGTGGAGGAGGACCAGTGTGGAGGACCAGTGGAGGAGGACCAGTGAGGAGGAGGACCAGTGAGGAGGAGGACCAGTGAGGAGGAGGACCAGTGTGGAGGAGGACCAGTGTGGAGGAGGGAGGAGGAGGACCAGTGTGGAGGAGGACCAGTGTGGAGGAGGACCAGTGTGGAGGACCAGTGTGGAGGAGGACCAGTGTGGAGGAGGACCAGTGTGGAGGAGGACCAGTGTGGAGGAGGACCAGTGTGGAGGAGGACCAGTGTGGAAGAGGACCAGTGTGGAGGAGGGAGGAGGAGGACCAGTGTGGAGGAGGACCAGTGTGGAGGAGGACCAGTGTGGAGGAGGACCAGTGTGGAGGAGGACCAGTGTGGAGGAGGACCAGTGTGGAGGAGGGAGGAGGAGGACCAGTGTGGAGGAGGACCAGTGTGGAGGAGGACCAGTGTGGAGGAGGACCAGTGTGGAGGAGGACCAGTGTGGAGGAGGACCAGTGTGGAGGAGGAGGAGGAGGACCAGTGTGGAGGAGGACCAGTGTGGAAGAGGACCAGTGTGGAGGAGGACCAGTGAGGAGGAGGACCAGTGTGGAGGAGGACCAGTGTGGAGGAGGACCAGTGTGGAGGAGGACCAGTGTGGAAGAGGACCAGTGTGGAGGGAGGGAGGAGGAGGACCAGTGTGGAGGAGGACCAGTGTGGAGGAGGACCAGTGAGGAGGAGGACCAGTGTGGAGGAGGACCAGTGTGGAGGAGGGAGGAGGAGGACCAGTGTGGAGGAGGACCAGTGTGGAGGAGGACCAGTGTGGAAGAGGACCAGTGTGGAGGAGGACCAGTGAGGAGGAGGACCAGTGTGGAGGAGGACCAGTGAGGAGGAGGACCAGTGTGGAGGAGGACCAGTGAGGAGGAGGACCAGTGTGGAGGAGGACCAGTGAGGAGGAGGACCAGTGTGGAGGAGGACCAGTGAGGAGGAGGACCAGTGTGGAGGAGGACCAGTGAGGAGGAGGACCAGTGTGGAGGAGGACCAGTGAGGAGGAGGACCAGTGTGGAGGAGGACCAGTGAGGAGGAGGACCAGTGTGGAGGAGGGAGGAGGAGGACCAGTGTGGAGGAGGACCAGCGTGGAGGAGGACCAGTGTGGAGGAGGACCAGCGTGGAGGAGGACCAGTGTGGAGGAGGACCAGTGTGGAGGAGGACCAGTGAGGAGGAGGACCAGTGTGGAGGAGGACCAGTGAGGAGGAGGACCAGTGTGGAGGAGGACCAGTGAGGAGGAGGACCATGTGTGGAGGAGGACCAGTGAGGAGGAGGACCAGTGTGGAGGAGGACCAGTGAGGAGGAGGACCAGTGTGGAGGAGGACCAGTGAGGAGGAGGACCAGCGTGGAGGAGGACCAGTGTGGAGGAGGACCAGTGAGGAGGAGGACCAGTGTGGAGGAGGACCAGTGAGGAGGAGGACCAGTGTGGAGGAGGACCAGTGTGGAGGAGGACCAGTGTGGAGGAGGACCAGTGAGGAGGAGGACCAGTGTGGAGGAGGACCAGTGTGGAGGAGGACCAGTGTGGAGGAGGACCAGTGTGGAGGAGGACCAGTGTGGAGGAGGGAGGAGGAGGACCAGTGTGGAGGAGGACCAGTGTGGAGGAGGACCAGTGAGGAGGAGGACCAGTGTGGAGGAGGACCAGTGTGGAGGAGGACCAGTGTGGAAGAGGACCAGTGTGGAGGAGGACCAGTGTGGAGGAGGACCAGTGAGGAGGAGGACCAGTGTGGAGGAGGACCAGTGGGAGGAGGGAGGAGGAGGACCAGTGTGGAGGAGGACCAGTGTGGAGGAGGACCAGTGTGGAAGAGGACCAGTGTGGAGGAGGGAGGAGGAGGACCAGTGTGGAGGAGGACCAGTGTGGAGGAGGACCAGTGTGGAGGAGGACCAGTGTGGAGGAGGACCAGTGTGGAAGAGGACCAGTGTGGAAGAGGACCAGTGTGGAGGAGGACCAGTGTGGAGGAGGACCAGTGAGGAGGAGGACCAGTGAGGAGGAGGACCAGTGAGGAGGAGGACCAGTGTGGAGGAGGACCAGTGTGGAGGAGGGAGGAGGAGGACCAGTGTGGAGGAGGACCAGTGTGGAGGAGGACCAGTGTGGAGGACCAGTGTGGAGGAGGACCAGTGTGGAGGAGGACCAGTGTGGAGGAGGACCAGTGTGGAGGAGGACCAGTGTGGAGGAGGACCAGTGTGGAAGAGGACCAGTGGGAGGAGGGAGGAGGAGGACCAGTGTGGAGGAGGACCAGTGTGGAGGAGGACCAGTGTGGAGGAGGACCAGTGTGGAGGAGGACCAGTGTGGAGGAGGGAGGAGGAGGACCAGTGTGGAGGAGGACCAGTGTGGAGGAGGACCAGTGTGGAGGAGGACCAGTGTGGAAGAGGACCAGTGTGGAGGAGGACCAGTGAGGAGGAGGACCAGTGTGGAGGAGGACCAGTGTGGAGGAGGACCAGTGTGGAGGAGGACCAGTGTGGAGGAGGACCAGTGTGGAGGAGGGAGGAGGAGGACCAGTGTGGAGGAGGACCAGTGTGGAGGAGGACCAGTGAGGAGGAGGACCAGTGTGGAGGAGGACCAGTGTGGAGGAGGGAGGAGGAGGACCAGTGTGGAGGAGGACCAGTGTGGAGGAGGACCAGTGTGGAAGAGGACCAGTGTGGAGGAGGGAGGAGGAGGACCAGTGTGGAGGAGGACCAGTGTGGAGGAGGGAGGAGGAGGACCAGTGTGGAGGAGGACCAGTGAGGAGGAGGACCAGTGTGGAGGAGGACCAGTGTGGAGGAGGACCAGTGTGGAGGAGGACCAGTGTGGAGGAGGACCAGTGTGGAGGACCAGTGTGGAGGAGGACCAGTGTGGAGGAGGACCAGTGAGGAGGAGGGAGGAGGAGGAGGACCAGTGTGGAGGAGGACCAGTGAGGAGGAGGACCAGTGAGGAGGAGGACCAGTGAGGAGGAGGACCAGTGAGGAGGAGGACCAGTGTGGAGGAGGACCAGTGAGGAGGAGGACCAGTGTGGAGGAGGACCAGTGTGGAGGAGGACCAGTGAGGAGGAGGACCAGTGTGGAGGAGGACCAGTGAGGAGGAGGACCAGTGTGGAGGAGGACCAGTGTGGAGGAGGACCAGCGTGGAGGAGGACCAGTGTGGAGGAGGACCAGCGTGGAGGAGGACCAGTGTGGAGGAGGACCAGCGTGGAGGAGGACCAGTGAGGAGGAGGACCAGTGAGGAGGACCAGTGAGGAGGAGGACCAGTGAGGAGGAGGACCAGTGAGGAGGAGGACCAGTGAGGAGGACCAGTGAGGAGGAGGACCAGTGTGGAGGAGGACCAGTGAGGAGGAGGACCAGTGTGGAGGAGGACCAGTGTGGAGGAGGACCAGTGAGGAGGAGGACCAGTGTGGAGGAGGACCAGTGAGGAGGACCAGTGAGGAGGACCAGTGAGGAGGAGGACCAGTGTGGAGGAGGACCAGTGAGGAGGACCAGTGAGGAGGACCAGTGAGGAGGAGGACCAGTGAGGAGACTGTGTAAAGGTTTGAGGACAGTTCAGGAAATGCCACATCAAGGAAAACAGAGAATGTAAACACAGTCTACAGACATGGACCAGGGGAGGGTCTCTCTCTCTCACTGGTCTCTCTCTGGTCTCTCTCTCTGGTCTCTCTCACTGGTCTCTCTCTCTGGTCTCTCTCTCTGGTCTCTCTCACTGGTCTCTCTCTCTGGTCTCTCTCTCTGGTCTCTCTCACTGGTCTCTCTCTCTGGTCTCTCTCTGGTCTCTCTCTCTGGTCTCTCTCTCTCTGGTCTCTCTCTGGTCTCTCTCTCTCTGGTCTCTCTCTCTGGTCTCTCTCTCTCTGGTCTCTCTCTCTCTGGTCTCTCTCTGGTCTCTCTCTCTGGTCTCTCTCTCTGGTCTCTCTCTCTGGTCTCTCTCTCTGGTCTCTCTCTCTCTGGTCTCTCTCTCTCTGGTCTCTCTCTCTCTGGTCTCTCTCTGGTCTCTCTCTCTGGTCTCTCTCTCTCTGGTCTCTCTCTGGTCTCTCTCTGGTCTCTCTCTCTGGTCTCTCTCTGGTCTCTCTCTGGTCTCTCTCTCTGGTCTCTCTCTCTCTGGTCTCTCTCTGGTCTCTCTCTCTGGTCTCTCTCTCTGGTCTCTCTCTCTCTGGTCTCTCTCTCTCTGGTCTCTCTCTCTCTGGTCTCTCTCTGGTCTCTCTCTGGTCTCTCTCTCTGGTCTCTCTCTGGTCTCTCTCTGGTCTCTCTCTCTGGTCTCTCTCTCTCTGGTCTCTCTCTGGTCTCTCTCTCTGGTCTCTCTCTCTGGTCTCTCTCTCTCTGGTCTCTCTCTCTCTGGTCTCTCTCTCTCTGGTCTCTCTCTGGTCTCTCTCTGGTCTCTCTCTCTGGTCTCTCTCTCTCTGGTCTCTCTCTGGTCTCTCTCTGGTCTCTCTCTCTGGTCTCTCTCTGGTCTCTCTCTCTGGTCTCTCTCTCTCTGGTCTCTCTCTGGTCTCTCTCTGGTCTCTCTCTCTGGTCTCTCTCTGGTCTCTCTCTGGTCTCTCTCTCTGGTCTCTCTCTCTCTGGTCTCTCTCTGGTCTCTCTCTCTGGTCTCTCTCTCTGGTCTCTCTCTCTCTGGTCTCTCTCTGGTCTCTCTTTGGTCTCTCTCTCTGGTCTCTCTCTCTGGTCTCTCTCTCTGGTCTCTCTCTCTGGTCTCTCTCTCTCTGGTCTCTCTCTCTCTGGTCTCTCTCTCTCTGGTCTCTCTCTGGTCTCTCTCTGGTCTCTCTCTCTGGTCTCTCTCTCTCTGGTCTCTCTCTGGTCTCTCTCTGGTCTCTCTCTCTGGTCTCTCTCTGGTCTCTCTCTGGTCTCTCTCTCTGGTCTCTCTCTCTCTGGTCTCTCTCTGGTCTCTCTCTCTGGTCTCTCTCTCTGGTCTCTCTCTCTCTGGTCTCTCTCTGGTCTCTCTCTGGTCTCTCTCTCTGGTCTCTCTCTCTGGTCTCTCTCTCTGGTCTCTCTCTCTGGTCTCTCTCTCTGGTCTCTCTCTCTCTGGTCTCTCTCTGGTCTCTCTCTGGTCTCTCTCTCTGGTCTCTCTCTCTGGTCTCTCTCTCTGGTCTCTCTCTCTGGTCTCTCTCTCTGGTCTCTCTCTCTCTGGTCTCTCTCTGGTCTCTCTCTGGTCTCTCTCTGGTCTCTCTCTCTGGTCTCTCTCTCTGGTCTCTCTCTCTCTGGTCTCTCTCTCTGGTCTCTCTCTCTCTGGTCTCTCTCTGGTCTCTCTCTGGTCTCTCTCTCTGGTCTCTCTCTGGTCTCTCTCTCTGGTCTCTCTCTCTCTGGTCTCTCTCTGGTCTCTCTCTGGTCTCTCTCTCTGGTCTCTCTCTGGTCTCTCTCTGGTCTCTCTCTCTGGTCTCTCTCTCTCTGGTCTCTCTCTGGTCTCTCTCTCTGGTCTCTCTCTCTGGTCTCTCTCTCTCTGGTCTCTCTCTGGTCTCTCTTTGGTCTCTCTCTCTGGTCTCTCTCTCTGGTCTCTCTCTCTGGTCTCTCTCTCTGGTCTCTCTCTCTCTGGTCTCTCTCTCTCTGGTCTCTCTCTCTCTGGTCTCTCTCTGGTCTCTCTCTGGTCTCTCTCTCTGGTCTCTCTCTCTCTGGTCTCTCTCTGGTCTCTCTCTGGTCTCTCTCTCTGGTCTCTCTCTGGTCTCTCTCTGGTCTCTCTCTCTGGTCTCTCTCTCTCTGGTCTCTCTCTGGTCTCTCTCTCTGGTCTCTCTCTGGTCTCTCTCTCTGGTCTCTCTCTGGTCTCTCTCTGGTCTCTCTCTCTGGTCTCTCTCTCTCTGGTCTCTCTCTGGTCTCTCTCTCTGGTCTCTCTCTCTGGTCTCTCTCTCTCTGGTCTCTCTCTGGTCTCTCTCTGGTCTCTCTCTCTGGTCTCTCTCTCTGGTCTCTCTCTCTGGTCTCTCTCTCTGGTCTCTCTCTCTGGTCTCTCTCTCTCTGGTCTCTCTCTGGTCTCTCTCTGGTCTCTCTCTGGTCTCTCTCTCTGGTCTCTCTCTCTGGTCTCTCTCTCTCTGGTCTCTCTCTGGTCTCTCTCTCTGGTCTCTCTCTCTCTGGTCTCTCTCTGGTCTCTCTCTCTGGTCTCTCTCTCTGGTCTCCTGGCCGCGATAAATTCCATTTGATGCAGTACTTTTGAACATATGCCAGTCTGAGTTCTCATTCAGGCTCTATAATGACTAAACTAGCACAGCTACTATACACATACTGCTGTTATATAAAGTCACCTCCGTGAACACATACTGCAGTTATATAAAGTCACTGTGAACACATACTGCTGTTATATAAAGTCACCTCCGTGAACACATACTGCAGTTATATAAAGTCACCTCCGTGAACACATACTGCAGTTATATAAAGTCACCTCCGTGAACACATACTACTGTTATATAAAGTCACCTCCGTGAACACATACTGCTGTTATATAAAGTCACCGTGAACACATACTGCTGTTATATAAAGTCACCTCCGTGAACACATACTGCTGTTATATAAAGTCACCTCCGTGAACACATACTGCTGTTATATAAAGTCACCTCCGTGAACACATACTACTGTTATATAAAGTCACCTCCGTGAACACATACTGCTGTTATATAAAGTCACCTCCGTGAACACATACTGCTGTTATATAAAGTCACCTCCGTGAACACATACTGCTGTTATATAAAGTCACCGTGAACACATACTACTGTTATATAAAGTCACCTCCGTGAACACATACTGCTGTTATATAAAGTCACCGTGAACACATACTGCTGTTATATAAAGTCACCTCCGTGAACACATACTGCTGTTATATAAAGTCACCTCCGTGAACACATACTACTGTTATATAAAGTCACCTCCGTGAACACATACTGCTGTTATATAAAGTCACCTCCGTGAACACATACTACTGTTATATAAAGTCACCTCCGTGAACACATACTGCTGTTATATAAAGTCACCTCCGTGAACACATACTGCTGTTATATAAAGTCACCTCTGTGAACACATACTACTGTTATATAAAGTCACCTCCGTGAACACATACTGCTGTTATATAAAGTCACCGTGAACACATACTGCTGTTATATAAAGTCACCGTGAACACATACTACTGTTATATAAAGTCACCGTGAACACATACTACTGTTATATAAAGTCTGTGTCTCTCTCACTTACACACCATAGGTCTGACTGTAAATGAGAGAGTGAATGATGGTGTTGGGTCAGAGGCTTTGATGGACCAGTGTGTTCTGGACTCGCTTCTGTCATCACCGTGTGTGGAAGGATTGGAACAATATCTGACTCTGAACATTGGAAAGTGCTTTGGGTCTGTACCTTGGTCTGTAAAATGCGCTATATAAATAAACATTACATTACATTACAATAACTTTACACAAAAAGCCGCTAGCTTAACTCTGTTAGCATCAAAGCACTTCTGCCACTTCCGGCGGTGGTCTTTAAAAATAAAAGTGTATTTCTCTTTGAAAAGGTGTCTGCATCATTATCACTGTATTAGATGAAAATGATCTCAGAACAACAAGACTATCGCTTATCGCAATAATTCCTGAGACAATTCATCGTCCAGCAAAAATGTGTTATTGTGACAGGCCTAAATGCAGCGAGATGCAGTGACTGCAGCTGAAATGACTGCAGCTGAAATGACTGCAGCTGAAATGCAGTGACTGCAGCTGAAATGACTGCAGCTGAAATGCAGTGACTGCAGCTGAAATGACTGCAGCTGAAATGACTGCAGCTGAAATGCAGTGACTGCAGCTGAAATGACTGCAGCTGAAATGACTGCAGCTGAAATGCAGTGACTGCAGCTGAAATGCAGTGACTGCAGCTGAAATGCAATGACTGCAGCTGAAATGACTGCAGCTGAAATGCAGTGACTGCAGCTGAAATGACTGCAGCTGAAATGCAGTGACTGCAGCTGAAATGACTGCAGCTGAAATGCAATGACTGCAGCTGAAATGACTGCAGCTGAAATGACTGCAGCTGAAATGACCGCAGCTGAAATGCGGTGACTGCAGCTGAAATGACTGCAGCTGAAATGCAATGACTGCAGCTGAAATGACTGCAGCTGAAATGCAGTGACTGCAGCTGAAATGACTGCAGCTGAAATGCAGTGACTGCAGCTGAAATGACTGCAGCTGAAATGACTGCAGCTGAAATGCAGTGACTGCAGCTGAAATGACTGCAGCTGAAATGACTGCAGCTGAAATGCAGTGACTGCAGCTGAAATGCAGTGACTGCAGCTGAAATGCAATGACTGCAGCTGAAATGACTGCAGCTGAAATGCAGTGACTGCAGCTGAAATCACTGCAGCTGAAATGCAGTGACTGCAGCTGAAATGACTGCAGCTGAAATGCAATGACTGCAGCTGAAATGACTGCAGCTGAAATGACTGCAGCTGAAATGACCGCAGCTGAAATGCGGTGACTGCAGCTGAAATGACTGCAGCTGAAATGCAATGACTGCAGCTGAAATGACTGCAGCTGAAATGACTGCAGCTGAAATGCAATGACTGCAGCTGAAATGACTGCAGCTGAAATGCAATGACTGCAGCTGAAATGACTGCAGCTGAAATGCAATGACTGCAGCTGAAATGACTGCAGCTGAAATGACTGCAGCTGAAATGCAATGACTGCAGCTGAAATGACTGCAGCTGAAATGACTGCAGCTGAAATGACCGCAGCTGAAATGACCGCAGCTGAAATGACCGCAGCTGAAATGCGGTGACTGCAGCTGAAATGACTGCAGCTGAAATGCAGTGACTGCAGCTGAAATGACTGCAGCTGAAATGCAATGACTGCAGCTGAAATGACTGCAGCTGAAATGCAGTGACTGCAGCTGAAATGACTGCAGCTGAAATGCAATGACTGCAGCTGAAATGACTGCAGCTGAAATGCAGTGACTGCAGCTGAAATGACTGCAGCTGAAATGACTGCAGCTGAAATGCAATGACTGCAGCTGAAATGACTGCAGCTGAAATGATTGCAGCTGAAATGACTGCAGCTGAAATGCAGTGACTGCAGCTGAAATGACTGCAGCTGAAATGACTGCAGCTGAAATGACTGCAGCTGAAATGACTGCAGCTGAAATGCAGTGACTGCAGCTGAAATGACTGCAGCTGAAATGACTGCAGCTGAAATGATTGCAGCTGAAATGACTGCAGCTGAAATGCAGTGACTGCAGCTGAAATGACTGCAGCTGAAATGACTGCAGCTGAAATGACTGCAGCTGAAATGACCGCAGCTGAAATGACCGCAGCTGAAATGACTGCAGCTGAAATGACCGCAGCTGAAATGACTGCAGCTGAAATGCAGTGACTGCAGCTGAAATGACCGCAGCTGAAATGCAGTGACTGCAGCTGAAATGACTGCAGCTGAAATGCAATGACTGCAGCTGAAATGACTGCAGCTGAAATGCAGTGACTGCAGCTGAAATGACTGCAGCTGAAATGCAGTGACTGCAGCTGAAATGACTGCAGCTGAAATGCAATGACTGCAGCTGAAATGACTGCAGCTGAAATGCAATGACTGCAGCTGAAATGACTGCAGCTGAAATGATTGCAGCTGAAATGACTGCAGCTGAAATGCAGTGACTGCAGCTGAAATGACTGCAGCTGAAATGCAGTGACTGCAGCTGAAATGACTGCAGCTGAAATGACTGCAGCTGAAATGATTGCAGCTGAAATGACTGCAGCTGAAATGCAGTGACTGCAGCTGAAATGACTGCAGCTGAAATGACTGCAGCTGAAATGACCGCAGCTGAAATGACCGCAGCTGAAATGACTGCAGCTGACATGACCGCAGCTGAAATGACTGCAGCTGAAATGCAGTGACTGCAGCTGAAATGACCGCAGCTGAAATGCAGTGACTGCAGCTGAAATGACTGCAGCTGAAATGACCGCAGCTGAAATGACCGCAGCTGAAATGACCGCAGCTGAAATGACTGCAGCTGAAATGCAGTGACTGCAGCTGAAATGACCGCAGCTGAAATGACTGCAGCTGAAATGCAGTGACTGCAGCTGAAATGACCGCAGCTGAAATGACTGCAGCTGAAATGCAGTGACTGCAGCTGAAATGACTGCAGCTGAAATGCAGTGACTGCAGCTGAAATGACCGCAGCTGAAATGACTGCAGCTGAAATGCAGTGACTGCAGCTGAAATGACCGCAGCTGAAATGCAGTGACTGAAGCTGAAATGACCGCAGCTGAAATGACTGCAGCTGAAATGCAGTGACTGCAGCTGAAATGACCGCAGCTGAAATGACTGCAGCTGAAATGCAGTGACTGCAGCTGAAATGACCGCAGCTGAAATGACTGCAGCTGAAATGCAGTGACTGCAGCTGAAATGACCGCAGCTGAAATGCAGTGACTGAAGCTGAAATGACCGCAGCTGAAATGCAGTGACTGCAGCTGAAATGACTGCAGCTGAAATGACCGCAGCTGAAATGACCGCAGCTGAAATGACCGCAGCTGAAATGACCGCAGCTGAAATGACCGCAGCTGAAATGCGGTGTCAGCAGATTCAGGCTCCATCAGAGGCCTGTTGTCTGCAGCTGCTTTTGTTTATTATTGTGTAGCACAAGGTCCTGAGCTGCAGTCATGGGACGTGTTTTCAGGAGTCTGTGTATGTGACTGTGTGTGTGACTGTGTGTGTGTGTGACTGTGTGTGTGTGTGACTGTGTGTGTGTGTGTGACTGTGTGTGTGTGTGACTGTGTGTGTGTGTGACTGTGTGTGTGTGTGACTGTGTGTGTGTGTGTGTGACTGTGTGTGTGCGTGTGTGTGTGTGTGTGACTGTGTGTGCGTGTGTGCGTGTATGTGTGTGTGTGACTGTGTGTGCGTGTGTGTGTGTGCGTGTATGTGTGTCTGTGTGTGTGTGTGACTGTGTGTGTGTGTGACTGTGTGTGTGCGTGTGTGTGTGTGTGACTGTGTGTGTGCGTGTGTGTTGATTCTTGTTACAGTATTGTGTAGTGTGTGTGTCTGGGATGCTCAGTTATAGTTTCCTCTGGTCTAGTGTGAGCTCTGGTGGTTTCTGTTGAAGATTCAATAATATCTTTACCTTTGATGCCACAGATCCATTTAACATATTTGCTGCTTGTGACTCTCGCTGCTGCTGCTGCTGCTGCTGCTGCTGCTACTGCTGCTACTACTGCTGCTGCTGCTGCTGCTGCTGCTACTGCTGCTGCTGCTACTGCTGCTGCTGCTGCTGCTGCTGCTGCTGCTGCTGCTACTACTGCAGAGCTGGATCATGTTAATGCAGGTGGAATGAGAAGCTGTGGATCCCATTACACAGACGTCTGATTAGATCTGCTCCTTTAAAGTGAGTCACAGCTGCAGAGCCACAGCTGCAGAGCCACAGCTGCATAGCCACAGCTGCATAGCCAGAGCTGCATAGCCAGAGCTGCAGAGCCACAGCTGCAGAGTCACAGCAGAGTCAGAGCCTCATGGACTTTGAATGTCCATAAGTCCTGGGGTTCAGAGGTCACGTCCTGGGGTTCAGAGGACATGTCCTGGGGTTCAGAGGTCACGTCCTGGGGTTCAGAGGACATGTCCTGGGGTTCAGAGGTCACGTCCTGGGGTTCAGAGGACACGTCCTGGTGTTCAGAGGTCACGTCCTGGAGGAGACCCAGGACAGAGACTATGTGGCAGAAGGAGAACCCTTCATATTGTATCAATAATCATATTTTAGTATAATTGCATTATATTTGCACTGACATGCTGCAGTACCACCCCAGGCCTGTGGGGGTGGACCCAGAATAAGAATTTGCCAATGCTAATGTACGTATCCTCTTTCCTCTGGAAAACGACTTCACGGGATGGTCCAAAAGTAGGTCTTGGTCCAAAAGTGGGTCTTGGTCCAAAATTGGGTCTTGGTCCAAAAGGACCTCCTCTCATCATGTGCCATCAGTACAGACTCCTCCCCCTCCCCAGACTCCTCCCCCTCCCCAGACACCTCCTCCCATAATGTGCCATCAGTGCAGACTCCTCCCCCTCCCCAGACACCTCCTCCCATCATGTGCCATCAGTGCAGACTCCTCCCCCTCCCCAGACGCCTCCTCTGTGGTTGTGTGTCTGGTCTCAGTGTGATTGCTGCATTCTTTCTGTAAAATGGACTTTACTCCGTGATGTGGTGATGACTTTGGGGTCAGAACGCTGTGTTTACATAATCCACAGTAACAGTCATGTGGTCTCTGTGGTCTCTGTGGTCTCTGTGGTCTCTGTGGTCTCTGTGGTCTCTGTGGTCTCTGTGGGAACTGTGGTCTCTGTGGGAACTGTGGTCTCTGTGGTCTCTGTGGGAACTGTGGTCTCTGTGGTCTCTTTGGTCTCTGTGGTCTCTGTGGGCTCTGTGGTCTCTGTGGGAACTGTGGTCTCTGTGGTCTCTGTGGTCTCTGTGGGAACTGTGGTATCTGTGGTCTCTGTGGGAACTGTGGTCTCTGTGGTCTCTGTGGGCTCTGTGGTCTCTGTGGGAACTGTGGTCTCTGTGGTCTCTGTGGTCTCTGTGGTCTCTGTGGTCTCTGTGGTCTCAGTGGTCTCTGTGGTCTCTGTGGTCTCTGTGGTCTCTGTGGTCTCTGTGGGAACTGTGGTCTCTGTGGTCTCTGTGGTCTCTGTGGGAACTGTGGTATCTGTGGTCTCTGTGGTCTCTGTGGGAACTGTGGTATCTGTGGTCTCTGTGGGAACTGTGGTCTCTGTGGTCTCTGTGGGAACTGTGGTCTCTGTGGTCTCTGTGGTCTCTGTGGGAACTGTGGTCTCTGTGGTCTCTGTGGTCTCTGTGGTCTCTGTGGTCTCTGTGGGAGCTGTGGTCTCTGTGGTCTCTGTGGTCTCTGTGGTCTCTGTGGGAACTGTGGTCTCTGTGGTCTCTGTGGTCTCTGTGGTCTCTGTGGGAACTGTGGTCTCTGTGGTCTCTGTGGGAACTGTGGTCTCTGTGGTCTCTGTGGTCTCTGTGGTCTCTGTGGGAACTGTGGTCTCTGTGGTCTCTGTGGTCTCTGTGGTCTCTGTGGTCTCTGTGGGAACTGTGGTCTCTGTGGGAACTGTGGTCTCTGTGGGAACTGTGGTCTGTGTGGTCTCTGTGGTCTGTGTGGTCTCTGTGGTCTCTGTGGTCTCTGTGGTCTCTGTGGGAACTGTGGGCTCTGTGGTCTCTGTGGTCTCTGTGGGAACTGTGGTCTCTGTGGTCTCTGTGGTCTCTGTGGGAGCTGTGGTCTCTGTGGGAGCTGTGGTCTCTGTGGTCTCTGTGGTCTCTGTGGTCTCTGTGGTCTCTGTGGTCTCTGTGGTCTCTGTGGGAACTGTGTTTGAACTCACGAACCTGACCTAAAGTCCCAGAGTCGACATGTTTAATCTGCTTAAACTCAATCTGAGATCATGGTTTCTACACTAAATACAACACTATTTATTGATTGTAGTTTATAGTTGGAGTCAGCCATGTCTCAGTCTACAGTCTGACTGCTGTCTCAGTCTACAGTCTGACTGCTGCCTCAGTCTACAGTCTGACTGCTGCCTCAGTCTACAGTCTGACTGCTGCCTCAGTCTACAGTCTGACTGCTGCCTCAGTCTACAGTCTGACTGCTGTCTCAGTCTACAGTCTGACTGCTGCCTCAGTCTACAGTCTGACTGCTGCCTCAGTCTACAGTCTGACTGCTGCCTCAGTCTACAGTCTGACTGCTGCCTCAGTCTACAGTCTGACTGCTGCCTCAGTCTACAGTCTGACTGCTGCCTCAGTCTACAGTCTGACTGCTGCCTCAGTCTACAGTCTGACTGCTGTCTCAGTCTACAGTCTGACTGCTGCCTCAGTCTACAGTCTGACTGCTGCCTCAGTCTACAGTCTGACTGCTGTCTCAGTCTACAGTCTGACTGCTGCCTCAGTCTACAGTCTGACTGCTGTCTCAGTCTACAGTCTGACTGCTGCCTCAGTCTACAGTCTGACTGCTGCCTCAGTCTACAGTCTGACTGCTGCCTCAGTCTACAGTCTGACTGCTGTCTCAGTCTACAGTCTGACTGCTGCCTCAGTCTACAGTCTGACTGCTGCCTCAGTCTACAGTCTGACTGCTGTCTCAGTCTACAGTCTGACTGCTGCCTCAGTCTACAGTCTGACTGCTGCCTCAGTCTACAGTCTGACTGCTGTCTCAGTCTACAGTCTGACTGCTGCCTCAGTCTACAGTCTGACTGCTGCCTTTGTGTCAATAGATTATTTCTGATTTGTTTCATGTTCTTTATTGTGGCTTCGTCTCTTTTTGAAACACAAAAGAACGATGTGAGGAAACGCCAACAGCAAACAGTTTTAGGAATCTCTGTCTCTGTCCCAGACCCAGTCCCAGTCCCAGTCCCAGTCCAAGACCCAGACCCAGACCCAGACCCAGACCCAGACCCAGACCCAGACCCAGACCCAGTCCCAGATCCAGACCCATCCTCAGACTCCGTAACTACCGCCTCCTCCTCAAAGCACTGTGTCTGCTGCAGAGATGCCTGGGCACCACACGGAGGGCGGCAGGAGCCAGTGGCAGACGGAGCCGCACTCGCCCTGGGCCGGCCACAGCCCCGCCTCCTCGGGGGCGGAGTCGGACACGGAGAGCAGCAGCACCGAGAGTGAGAGGGCGAGAGAGGGACGGGCTCCAGGCCCACGGACTCCTGCTCAGGTACCGCCCATCTCTACTCACTGTAGACCCAAGAGGTGGATCATAAGAAGTTCTAGGACTAGATATATTATGCATGGGTCTCTGGTCTCTCTCTCTGGTCTCTTTCTCTACTCTCTCTCTGGTCTCTCTCTCTGGTCTCTCTCTCTGGTCTCTCTCTGGTCTCTCTCTGGTCTCTCTCTCTGGTCTCTCTCTGGTCTCTCTCTGGTCTCTCTCTGGTCTCTCTCTCTGGTCTCTCTCTGGTCTCTCTCTGGTCTCTCTCTGGTCTCTCTCTGGTCTCTCTCTGGTCTCTCGCTGGTCTCTCTCGGGTCTCTCTCTGGTCTCTCTCTGGTCTCTCGCTCTGGTCTCTCTCTGGTCTCTCTCTGGTCTCTCTCTGGTCTCTCTCTCTGGTCTCTCTCTGGTCTCTCTCTGGTCTCTCTCTGGTCTCTCTCTGGTCTCTCTCTCTGGTCTCTCTCTGGTCTCTCTCTCTGGTCTCTCTCTCTGGTCTCTCTCTCTCTGGTCTCTCTCTGGTCTCTCTCTGGTCTCTCTCTGGTCTGACTCACGGATGCTTTATGTTCCCTCCTCAGTCCTACGTCACAAAGCTACAGCTACATTCTCCCAGAGTTTTTCCGTCTCTGTCCAAAGTCCAGCAGCGCATCACCGAGATCGACCAGCAGAGGGAGGAGCTGAAGATCGAGGTACGAGGACTCACAATCCCAGCATGCATCACACCTCATCCTCTACAACTACACTTTTACAAGAGTGTCTCTCTCTGTCTCTCTCTCTGTCTCTGTCTCTCTCTGTGTCTCTCTCTCTGTCCCTCTCTCTCTCTCTCTGTCTCTCTCTCTGTCTCTCTCTCTCTCTCTCTGTCTCTCTCTCTGTCCCTCTCTCTCTCTCTCTGTCTCTCTCTCTGTCTCTCTCTCTCTCTCTCTGTCTCTCTCTCTGTCTCTCTCTCTCTCTCTCTCTCTGTCTCTCTCTCTCTCTCTCTGTCTCTCTCTCTGTCCCTCTCTCTCTCTCTCTCTCTCTCTCTCTCTCTCTCTCTCTCTCTCTCTCTCTCTCTCTCTCTCTCTCTGTCTCTCTGTCTCTCTGTCTCTCTCTCTCTCTCTCTGTCTCTCTGTCTCTCTCTCTCTGTCTCTCTGTCTCTCTCTCTCTCTCTCTCTCTCTGTCTCTCTCTCTCTCTCTCTGTCTCTCTCTCTCTCTCTCTGTCTCTCTGTCTCTCTGTCTCTCGCTCTGTCTCTCTCTCTGTCTAACTTTAACTCTTTATTTCCTCCATACATTAGACATGTGACAGACAGATGTTCCTTGAATTATAGATGGATAAAAACATATCTAATCATAATGTGAGAAACATTAGCCTTAGAGTTTCCGTGACGATGCTTCAGTCCCTCGGCCTCTCTGCTCTGTGCAGAGAGAGCAGCTGTGTCGTGGGTCATGTGATTGTGGTGTGGTTTTTGTGCATGTGTTTGTGTGTGCGTGTGTGTGTATGTCTGTGTGTATGACTGTGTGTGTGTGTGTGTGTAGCTACAGCTGGAGATTGCGCTGCTTCAAGGCGAGCTCCAGACCGAGAGGAGCCGCCTCCAGAGGCTGTTGCTCCGGCTGCAGACGCTACAGACAGTGCAGACGCCGCAGACGCTACAGACGCCGCAGACGCCGCAGACGCCGCAGACGCCGCAGACGCTGCAGACGCTGCAGACGCTACAGACGCCGCAGACGCCGCAGACGCCGCAGACGCTGCAGACGCTGCAGACGCTACAGACGCCGCAGACGCTGCAGGACCAGGGTCGGCTCCGAAAACACAAACTCACGGTGAGAAGCTTTATCTGCAAGGTCCTCGTGCTGTGCTCGGAGACATTTAACAAATAACTATAAATAATCATTAATAATCGTCATGTGAAAATTCACCTTTTGGAGACTTGTAAAAAACAGCCCTGACTCACTTATGATGCTTTATGCCGAGAGCTGATTGGCCGAGAGCTGATTGGCCGAGAGAGGGTGGTTCTCCATTTTTCCACTTTACTGTTTGAAAAAGCTGAGGCTGGAGTTTAACTTCTGTTTGTCTCGTGGTTTGTGCAGCCCTTTGAGTTGTGAATGAACTGTGCTATACAAATAAACTTGCCTTCACATACACACGCGTGTGAAAACTACTGATGGAACCTTTACACAGTCCTCAGATCTCCTGCTGTGATTTAGGGCGATACATAAATAAATGTTCTCTCTCAGGAGCGTGAGAGGCTGGAGCTGGAGCGGAGCCGAGTGATCGAGCTGCGGAGAGTCTGTGACGAGAAGGAATCTCAGCTCCTGGGTCGCCCCGAAGACCAGCTCCGAGGGCAGCTGCGGCAGGTCAGCCATGTTTGTATCGTGTTTTATCACGTAAACAGAGCCGTTTTATTATATAAAGAGCTCTGCCTCCTCCGACATCCCCCGTACATCCACCGTGGCTCACGCCGCAGTATTACCTGCATTTCCACCTCTGAGAACGTCATTCCCACCTCTGAGAACGTCATTCCCACGCTCTGAGAACGTCATTCCCACCTCTGAGAACGTCATTCCCACCTCTGAGAACGTCATTCCCACCTCTGAGAACGTCATTCCCACCTCTGAGAACGTCAGTCCCACCTCTGAGAACGTCATTCCCACGCTCTGAGAACGTCATTCCCACGCTCTGAGAACATCATTCCCACGCTCTGAGAACGTCATTCCCACGCTCTGAGAACATCATTCCCACGCTCTGAGAACGTCATTCCCACCTCTGAGAACGTCATTCCCACGCTCTGAGAACGTCATTCCCACCTCTGAGAACGTCATTCCCACCTCTGAGAACGTCATTCCCACCTCTGAGAACGTCATTCCCACCTCTGAGAACGTCATTCCCACGCTCTGAGAACGTCATTCCCACGCTCTGAGAACGTCATTCCCACGCTCTGAGAACGTCATTCCCACGCTCTGAGAACGTCATTCCCACGCTCTGAGAACGTCATTCCCACCTCTGAGAACGTCATTCCCACGCTCTGAGAACGTCATTCCCACGCTCTGAGAACGTCATTCCCACGCTCTGAGAACGTCATTCCCACGCTCTGAGAACGTCATTCCCACGCTCTGAGAACGTCATTCCCACGCTCTGAGAACGTCATTCCCACGCTCTGAGAACGTCATTCCCACGCTCTGAGAACGTCATTCCCACGCTCTGAGAACGTCATTCCCACGCTCTGAGAACGTCATTCCCACGCTCTGAGAACGTCATTCCCACGCTCTGAGAACGTCATTCCCACGCTCTGAGAACGTCATTCCCACCTCTGAGAACGTCATTCCCACGCTCTGAGCTTGAACGTCATTCCCACGCTCTCTGAGAACGTCATTCCCACCTCTGAGAACGTCATTCCCACGCTCTGAGAAACGTCATTCCCACGCTCTGAGAACGTCATTCCCACGCTCTGAGAACGTCATTCCCACGCTCTGAGAACGTCATTCCCACGCTCTGAGAACGTCATTCCCACGCTCTGAGAACGTCATTCCCACGCTCTGAGAACGTCATTCCCACGCTCTGAGAACGTCATTCCCACGCTCTGAGAACGTCATTCCCACGCTCTGAGAACGTCATTCCCACGCTCTGAGAACGTCATTCCCACGCTCTGAGAACGTCATTCCCACGCTCTGAGAACGTCATTCCCACGCTCTGAGAACGTCATTCCCACGCTCTGAGAACGTCATTCCCACGCTCTGAGAACGTCATTCCCACGCTCTGAGAACGTCATTCCCACGCTCTGAGAACGTCATTCCCACCTCTGAGAACGTCATTCCACTCTGACGTCATTCCCTCTGAGAACGTCATTCCCACCTCTGAGAACGTCATTCCCACCTCTGAGAACGTCATTCCCACCTCTGAGAACGTCATTCCCACCTCTGAGAACGTCATTCCCACCTCTGAGAACGTCATTCCCACGCTCTGAGAACGTCATTCCCACGCTCTGAGAACGTCATTCCCACGCTCTGAGAACGTCATTCCCACCTCTGAGAACGTCATTCCCACCTCTGAGAACGTCATTCCCACCTCTGAGAACGTCATTCCCACGCTCTGAGAACGTCATTCCCACGCTCTGAGAACGTCATTTCCCACCTCTGAGAACGTCATTCCCACGCTCTGAGAACGTCATTCCCACCTCTGAGAACGTCATTCCCACGCTCTGAGAACGTCATTCCCACGCTCTGAGAACGTCATTCCCACGCTCTGAGAACGTCATTCCCACGCTCTGAGAACGTCATTCCCACGCTCTGAGAAAGTCATTCCCACCTCTGAGAACGTCATTCCCACCTCTGAGAACGTCATTCCCACGCTCTGAGAACGTCATTCCCACGCTCTGAGAACGTCATTCCCACGCTCTGAGAACGTCATTCCCACCTCTGAGAACGTAATTTCCACCTCTGAGAACGTCATTCCCACGCTCGGAGAACGTCATTCCCACCTCTGAGAACGTCATTCCCACGCTCTGAGAACGTCATTCCCACGCTCGGAGAACGTCATTCCCACGCTCGGAGAACGTCATTCCCACGCTCGGAGAACGTCATTCCCACGCTCTGAGAACGTCATTCCCACGCTCTGAGAACGTCATTCCCACGCTCTGAGAACGTCATTCCCACGCCTTGAGAACGTCATTCCCACCTCTGAGAACGTCATTCCCACCTCTGAGAACGTCATTCCCACCTCTGAGAACGTCATTCCCACGCTCTGAGAACGTCATTCCCACGCTCTGAGAACGTCATTCCCACGCTCTGAGAACGTCATTCCCACGCTCTGAGAACGTCATTCCCACCTCTGAGAACGTCATTCCCACGCTCTGAGAACGTCATTCCCACGCTCGGAGAACGTCATTCCCACCTCTGAGAACGTCATTTCCACCTCTGAGAACGTCATTCCCACCTCTGAGAACGTCATTCCCACGCTCTGAGAACGTCATTCCCACGCTCTGAGAACGTCATTCCCACGCTCTGAGAACGTCATTCCCACCTCTGAGAACGTCATTCCCACGCTCTGAGAACGTCATTCCCACGCTCTGAGAACGTCATTCCCACGCTCTGAGAACGTCATTCCCACCTCTGAGAACGTCATTCCCACCTCTGAGAACGTCATTCCCACGCTCTGAGAACGTCATTCCCACGCTCTGAGAACGTCATTCCCACGCTCTGAGAACGTCATTCCCACCTCTGAGAACGTCATTCCCACGCTCTGAGAACGTCATTCCCACGCTCTGAGAACGTCATTCCCACGCTCTGAGAACGTCATTCCCACGCTCTGAGAACGTCATTCCCACCTCTGAGAACGTCATTCCCACCTCTGAGAACGTCATTCCCACCTCTGAGAACGTCATTCCCACGCTTCTCCACCGCCTCCTTCTCCACCGTCTCCTTCTCCACCGCCTCCTTCTCCACAGCCTCCTTCTCCACCGCCTCCTTCTCCACCGCCTCCTTCTCCACCGCCTCCTTC